TCTGAAAGCGTTCCGAAGTGCTCTGAAGCAACTTATCCCAACCAAGGTCCTGCCCGACAGGGCCTCCTGGTCCTGACAGCTGGCCGCCTGTTCCAGCGAGCGTGCCCCTGCGTACCCCCTGTTGTACTTCCGGCAGGCGCTGAGACACAGGTCGCATCTAGGAAATCAGAGACCGCGTGAACACTTGCAGGCGGCTGGGGGGTCTGAGCTGGAGAAGCCCAGAAAATTCTGGTCAAGAGACGGGGACAAGAGCAAATTCGCTCAAAATCGGTCCCCGGATCCCTCCCTGGAACGAAACTGTCCAATTCTTCGAGCCGCATCCAGCCCTTTATCCCCCCTTTCTGACGGCCGGAATCGGTGCTGGGCCACCTCAGCTCCCCAGCCAGCTCCAACGTTGCATCTTCAAACTCAGAGGCCACTTTCTGCGGCAACTCATGGGAGATCCTGCGAACCGAGGCTAAACGACGCTAGTCGACGCTACATCGACGCCACTCGGTGCTTATCGACGCTAAATAGGCGCTATCTCGCCGATTGTCAGACGCTGATCGACGCTGGTGCACTGCAAAGCCGGAATTGCAAAGGAACGCAAGGCTCCCATGATTTACCATTTTTTTATCGGTGACCCACCAAGACGTCGGACTGCTCCGGCAGCTGCGCCTGGCCAGGGGGCGATCCGAGGACATGGCCCCCAGAAGCCGCCTCGCGTCCGAAAGAGAGACAGGAGGAATGTTCAAGCCAAAGCTGTGTCCCGGCAGCGAGGCCGATATTCGGCCGCTGCCTGGGTCTACCAAAGCGAAGAGCACCTGGAAGGACGGGCCCCAAAATATGAATCCCACCAGCGCGTTCGGCGTGAGCGGCTCAACGAGTTAGCTCTTGGCACCCCGCCGCCCCCCCTCCCGGCACGCGTCGGCGCTCGCCGGGCGCCGCGCGCGCCCTTGTGCCCCGTCGGGCCTCTGGGAGGTGCCGAAGGTGCTCTTCAGGTGCTTCTTGGAGCCTCGCCCGGCAGCGGAGAGAAGAAGTCGGCAGTTGGAACACCACGCGGGGCACAGGAGCATACGCCAGGTTTCGTAATAAAAGGGAGGGGGTCTGGATCCTCCAAGACAAGCCATTTCAGACCCCCCCCCCCCGTGGGAGAACCCTCCAAAACATCGTCCCCAGGCCCCCCAGGAATACCACGCGGGGAACAGGAACATACTCCAGATTTCGTAATAAAGGGAGGGGGGTCTCATTTCGGGGGGGGCCTCTTCCAGGCCATCTTGGAGGGCCTGGGGGGGTCTGGGGACGATGTTTTGGAGGGTTCTCCCACGAGGGGGGGTCTGAAATGGCTTGTCTTGGAGGGTCCAGACCCCCTCCCTTTTATTACGAAATCTGGAGTACCATGCGGGGAACAGGAACATGCCGTAGACGGATTTGCTTTGCCTCCGACATTGTACTCCGCCGAGCGCAACGGCAGCGTTTTCTAATAGACGCATCCATCCGAGTTTCCTTATACGTATAGGCACCCAGTGTAAATACAACATGTATACAGATGTATGGACGATTGTGGCGAGAAAGTGAGAACGGTATTTGGCACATGCCCCAAATATTCGTCTCTAGCAGGTAAATTTCGACCTCGAATTTAGGCTGAGCAGGCATTTCCTGGGAGGTCTGTTTAAGATCCATCGAGGGCTATTACGCCCGTCGAGAGGCCATTAAGCCAGACTGGCCCGAATGAGGCCCAGAATCCAACACGACTGAGCCAAACTAAGCGGCATGAAGCCGGGTTGAACGGGATCGTGCCGGCTCAGGCCGCTTGTCGACCCGATGCTGGGCCAAATTGAACGGATCTGGATCAATGCCGGCGTCAGACTGGATTTAAAACAGATCAGGCATACCAGCGCCGATGCTCAAAAGGACACCCCCAGGGGCTGCCTCCCGAGAACTCTGGGCGGCAGGGCCCAGGCCGTCCCCGGGGGCTCCGAGCGTCGCGCCGAGGGTCCTTCGCCGCTCTCGGCCCCACGTGACAGCAAGTATTCACGGCGTGGAGCTCCTCGTGTGTGCATCTGTTTGCATCGACCACTCCGCCGTGAGCGGCTAGGCGCAAGAGTTTTCGAACACAAGCGGGCTTGAGTGCTGACAGACTGGGGGGTGACCGCGCATGAGTCGGAGCGTGAATGAGCTTCAGTAGTACGAGTGAGTCGACGCGCATGAGTCTGAGCATGTCCAAACTTGGAATGTGCATCTGCGCGTTAATGGTCTGAGCGCGACTGAGCGTGACTGAACCGAAATGGCTACGCGATCTCACCCCATGGTGTAGCAAGGGATAGGGGTGCTCATGCGAACGCCGTGCGAAACCCCTGCGCGTCGCTGGCTGGCCCAGAAGATCTCACGCAGTGGCTGGACCGTGATCCAGCCAGCCACGCCACGGATATATATATATATATATATATAGGAACAGTAACGCCTAGGATTGGAGCCCCAGGAGAGGCCCGATCGATAGGAACATACTGAAAGCACCTAGGATTGGAGTGCGGCCACAGGACGGGGGGCAATGTCTAGGAACAGCTGTAAAATGCAAAAGATTCGCGCCCCAGATACGTAAAACACATCGGACTGGAGTCACAAGAGAGGGGCAATCTAAAGGGACACACGTAAAAACCTAAAATTGGAGTCACTCCTGTGGCCTCCTAGGGCCTGCCTCTTGAAGCCTCGTGGTGCCTCCTAGGGCCTCCTGGGGCCTCCAGGTGCCTTCTTTGAAGTCCTGGGGCCTCCTGGAGCCTCCTGGGGAAGATTCGTGCCCCAGGAGAGGCCCAGTCTATAGGAGCATACGTAAAACACCTAGGATTGGAGCCACAGGAAAATGGCAATATACGGGAACACACGCAAAACACTAAGAATTCGTTCCCCATGAGAAACCCACTGTGTAGGAGCACACGGAAAACACGCGGGACTGAAGCCACAGAGAAGGGCAATCGGTTGGAACATACGTAAAACACAACGGATTCGTGCCCCAGGTGAAGCCCTATATATATATATATATGTGTGTAAATGTAAATGTATGTGTGTATATAGATGCATGCATGCATGCATGCATGCATGCATGCATGCATGCATACATACATACATATACATACATGCATACATGCATACATACATACATACATACATACATACATACATACATACATACATACATACATACATACATAAATACATACATATATACATACATGCATACATACATACATGCATACATACATACATACATACATACATACATACATACATATCTTACATACATACATACATACATACATGCATGCATGCATGCATGCATGCATACATGCACTCGTACATAAATACATATATACATACATACATACATACATGCACGCATGCATGCATGCATGCATGCATGCATGCATAAAATCATACATACATACATACATACATACATGCATGCATGCATGCATACATACATACATACGTACATACATGCATACATACATACATAGATAGATACATATATACATACATACGTACATACATACATACATACATACATACATATATACATACGTACATACATATGTACATACATATATACAAATAAACAAACATACATACATGCATGCATACGTACATACATGCATGCATACGTACATGCATACATACATGCATACATACAACTAGAAACATGCGTAAAACGCATAAGATTGGAGCAACTCCTGTGGTCTCTGAGGTTTCCTGTGGCTTCATGGGGCCTCCTGGGGCCTCCTGGGGCGTCCTGGGGCGTCCTGGGGCGTCCTGGGGCCTCCTGAACATGCTGGGGCCTCCTGGGGCCTCCTGGGGCGTCCTAGTGCCTCCTGTGACTTCCTGGGGGCTTCTGGGGCCTCCTGGAGCCGCCTGGGGCCTCCTGTGGAGGATTCGTGACGCACGGGAAACATGTTCACGTGAGCGCCTGCGTGCCCTTACCACAAGGAAGCACTCCGAATAGACCACGATGTCATCGGTGGTACACAACAAGACCTGTAAAACTCCGTACGATTCAGCATGTGGTCTGGATTGTTCAGGAGTCGGGAAGGTTCGGCAGAGCACCCCGTCGAACTGGAAATCGCCCGGGGTAGACGCAGAATCCAAACGAACAGTGGCCCAACCACACCTTCGAAGCCCTCAATCCTTCGCAAACTCGCCCCCAGAGCCGTCCAACCTCCAGGTCCCTCCAGAGAACTGGGCCCCTTGCTCCAAGAGACCCCACCCAAACGCCAAGGTACGTGACGGCAGGACACGATTGACGGGGACAGCTAAAGTAGGAAGACCAGGATTCCAGAAGGCACTCCCTGGACAGGTGCGAGCAGCCTCCTGAGCATCAGGGACCAGATGCGCAGAGTTCGCCATACCACTAGAATCAATATCAACGCTACGCTGACAAAACCACACGGTGCATCATGGTCTCCTGCTCGGCCCCACATCTGGGGATATTCCAGAAATGAGATAATTAGCCTGCCTGACGAAAGCGTGCTTCGGCCAGCATCCACACGTCACGATACATGCAAGCAGCGCGGCGTCCTGGTGCGATCCATCCGCAGCAAGCGCACGGTGGATACGACGAAAAACCATGAAACCAACGAATTCCTCGAGACCTGCCCCACAATGGTGCTTGGCGGCCCGACTCCAATTCCTCAGAGACACGGTATGCTTCACACAAAGACCCAACGAATACGAGACATCAGCGTTGTCAACATCAAGCACCATGGTAAGGGTATTCCAAAGAGTAGGAGACCCGGGCTCCCATCCGAGAACAATCAAAGTAGCCACCACAGCAGCAGTCGATCCTTTGACCGTGGCCCAGCGCCTACTGGGATCCAAAGAAAGCAACTTGGCCCGAGCAGAGGTCCAGGTCCGTCGAACACCACTACGAAACCCAGGAGACAAAGACTTCCAAACACTGGCCAGGGCTCCAAGTTCCTCCCTCCGACAACGGTGCGAGAGGTCCACACCATACTGATGGCGAAAAGCCAGTACAGCAGATGTGCACGGCCCCGCAGACCAGAAACCAAAACGTCTGGCAGCAGAAGCTCGAGACGGCTGGGCCTCCGAAGTGGGCACTCCAACGACACGATGACTCCGAGCGCCAACACTCAAAATACCAGGCTTGCACAGCTTACGACTCAGCGGGTTTTTTTATGGACCCCAGGGTTTCTATGGGGAGTCTGTGGATTCCGACACCACCGCAACTTCCCCCAGGAGACCATGCGAGCGCCAGAGGGTCCCCGCATGAGTCCTGCGGATAAGGAATTCTGAGAAATCGGGATGGTCCCTCCGGGAACATGAGTGATCGTCCTGGAGCCATCGGGGGTACGGCAGGTTCGTGTCGTGCCGACCCCGGCGTTGGTTTTTGACACCGCAGGGATCGTTCAACCTTGAACGATCGGCCGTCTCCGCAACGTCCGATCGTTCAACATCGATCGATTCCGGGTCGCCGGCGGCGTTCAACCTTGAACGCCCGCGCTGGGGTCGCCGCCGGTCGACACGACGCGAACCTACCGTATGCGGGCTCCTCAGGAATAGTACAGATCCTTGGGGGAATCCCGAGGAGCCCTTTCAGAAGTCCCTGGGTGTCCAGGGGGAACCCGAGGCGAGCATGAGGAGTCCTGAAGATGGCGGAGGGAACCCAAAGGAACCCGAAGGGGAGCTGTGGAATTATCGGGGAACCGAAGCAATCCTGAAGAATCCTGAAGAAAATCTGGAGAATCCTGAGAGACCCCAGAAGGCCCAGCGGAATCCCAAGTTTATTTTCGGAATCCTGAAGGAGTATAAGGACATCTTCTGGGATCCTTGGAGAGTCTGGGCAAACCTCAAAAATTCCGACAAGTCCTGAGGCATCCTGAGGAATCCTGAAGAAAAAACCTGCTGGATCCTGAAGAATCCATGAGGACTCCCAAGGAGCGCTGCGACTGCCAAAACCTTGAGGATTTCCTAGGGAGCTGTGGTTTTACCGTTACGTGCGTGCGGTAGTTTGAACAGGGCTTGTTTGAGGCTGGCACCATGGATTGAAACGGTTCTATGAGGAACAGAGCAGTTCTAAACGTCACCTGCGTGCTGGAAGGGAAACTCTGCGATGCAAATTGGTGTCATGCTCTGTTTGTAGTGTAGCGTTTTGCATGTGTACTGTGTTACATGTGCATATGTATTGTGCGTGGATTGGATTGGGTTGTCTGTGTGATGTATGGTATGTGTATTGTACTTGTACTTGCCTTGTGCTTGTATTGTGTTGAATATGTGCGTTGTGTGTGCTGCATGTGTCTTGCATTAATATTAGATTGAACGAGTATTGTTTTGCATGTGTCTTGCATTCGTAGCGTATCGGGAACGATCCAACACCCAAACCCGACCCCGAACCCTTTTACACTTTGCACCTATTTTATAATGCACACAGGTAGCGTTCAACCATAATAGAAGCAGCAGCAGCAGCAGCAGCAGCAGCAGCAGCAGCAGCAGCAGTAGTAGTAGTAGTAGTAGTAGTAGTAGAAGTAGTAGTAGTAGTAGTAGTAGTAGTAGTAGTAGTAGTAGTAGTAGTGGTAGTGGTAGTAGTAGTAGTAGTAGTAGTAGTAGCAGTGGTGATAATAGCAATAGCGATAGGAACCGTAGTAATCGTGATAGTAGTAGTAATGATATTAAGAGTAGTAGTAGCAGTAGTAATAATAGTAATAGCAATATTAGTGGTAGTAATAGTAGTAATATTTCAAATGGTAGAAATAGACGTCGTCGAAGTAGAAGTAGTAGCAGACGTAGTAGTAGTAGTAGTAGTAGTAGTAGTAGTAGCAATCGTAGTGGTAGTACTCGTAGAAAAATAAAAAATGTAAGGAGAAGTAATGTAACAGTCGTGGTAGTAGCTGTTGTAGTAATAGCGGTACAAGTAGTGGTAAAAGTAGTAGTGGTAGTAGTAGTAGTAGCAATATAGCAATAGTAATAGCAGTAATAATAGTAATCGTAGCAATAGTAGTTGTAGTACTAGTACCAATCGTAGAGTCGTCGAAATAGTCATACTAGTAGTAGTAGTAGTAGTAGTAGTAGTAGTAGTAGTAGTAGTAGTAGTAGTAGTAGTAGTCGTAGTAGTCGTAGTAGTAGTAGTAGTAATAGTAGTAGTAGTAGTAGTAGTAGTAGTTATAATACTAGTACTAGTAATAGTCATACTAGTAGAAGACGTCGTAGCAGTAGTAGTAGTAGTAGTAGTAGCAGTAGAAGTAATAGTAGTAGACGTCGCAGTAGTAGTAGTAGTAGTAGTAGTAGTAGCAGTAGTAGTAGCAGTAGTAGTAGTAATAATAGCAGTCGAAGTAGCAGTCCTCGTAGTAGTAGTTGTAGTAGTAACAGTGAGTGTAGGAGTAGTTATTTCAAAGTAGTAGTAGTAATAATAATAATAAAATGAGTATCAGAATCTCGGGGTGACGCCGAACGCACCCCGATCCTGGCGGGGGGGCGAGGCGCCTCCGGTCGCGGACTCGAGCGCGGAGAGGTCGCCTGGGCCGCCGAGGGACGCACCCGGCTCTTTGTCTCAGGGGCGGCCGCCCCCAAGTTCACGGAGGCGTCCTCGCCTCCCTCCTCAAAGCTCCTCCTCTGAAGCATCGTTCCCAAACAGGGCGCGAATTAACCAGTGTTTGCCGTGTTCGTTCTGTCTTCGTTCTGCCTCGTTCTGTCTTCGTTCCGCCTTTGCTGCAAAGCGAAATCAAAACGAAAACGGTCCACGAAATCGCCAAAACACCGTTTAGCTCGCGCCCTGAAGTTTCGTTCCCACCCACCCACCTCGCGTGTGAAAAAAACATGGCGCGAGGTTTTTGTTGCCATATTCGGCCTCCGAGGGCCCTCGCCGGGCCCTGGGTCCGTCAACAGAAGGACGCAGGATGAAGAACTGGTCCTAGGAAATGGGTCGAGACCTCGTGGGGTCCACGTTGTGAAAAATCGTGATGACCCCTGCGAGCTCACTTGGTGGGATGACTACATTCTTACCGTCGGGGAGTGAATCGCTAGAGGTATGGTGCCCAAGCCCAAGCGACAGTGCATCGGACCACTGGAACCAGCAGAACTCCGCAGCGCTTTGCTGATCGCTCTCGATAGCCCCATCTCTGCACTCCCCCAGGCATGGGGTTGTGCAATTGAATACCTACTCTCCTTGTTCCTCCCTCCTCTTGAGCATCGTTTGGCCGATCCCCATCCCCACTGGGCGGGCTTGGCCCCGCTGGCCAACGTACCCCACCAGGTGGTGGCATGTGCTGTTTCATTGGGACTTCGCGGGGTCTGTCAACACCTAGGGGGAGTGGGGCTGGTGGGGATGAGAAGCCCGGGCCTAGTCAGAATGGCGAGTGGCCAGACAATTTAGTTTCCACCGCAGTGCTGCCCCCTACATTCCTGCAATACGCCGCCGATACTCATCAGTTTCCTTTGCACCAGCAGCAGTGTACAACGGCCAATGTGTGGCTCAACTATCGTACGGTTTGTTTCTTCGGTTTTTTTCCCACGCGGTGCGTCATGCGCGTGGTTGTCATGTTATTGGGTGGAGAAGCCCCCTCTGCTGCGTGGGTGTCTGGCTAGCCGCTGGCCGTACGCAGAGTCCGCCGGACCCTTGTGGGGCCACCAAGCTGTGAGGTGAAGGCTTGCTGCTCCCTGCACCAATTGCAGTTTCCAGTTTCCAATGTGATGGTTTTCCTTCCTGCTTCCTACTGTTACACTACCGAACGCGCGAGGAGGTGGAGCCGAAAAGCGCCGGTTTACCACGCCCCTCTGGGGTTCGCAGACTTCCCGGGGGGCCGTGGAACAAGTAAAAATAAGCAAGACTCGCGCCCCTGAGGCCATAAACCCTCCCAAATTACTGAATACGCGCGTCCCCGAAACCATAATCCCTGGCAAATCACGCATAATCGCGCCCTCGAGGCCATAAACCCTTGCAAATTACACCAGGCTCGCACCCCCGAAGCCACAAACCCCCGTAAATTATGCAATGCTCGCGTCCCCGAGACCATAAACCCATTCAAATTATACAATAATCGCGTCCCCGGATCCATAAATCCTCTCAATTACGCGTTACTCCCGCATCCGAAACAACAAGTCCTTGTAAAGTTGCAAATATTCCCGTCCCCGAGGCTATACAACCTTGTAAATGACACAAGATTCGCGCCCACGAGGCCATAAACCTTTGTAACTTAATGTGATCTTCGCGTCATCGAAACCATACAACCTCGTAAAACACTTAAAGAATGCGTCCTCGAGGCTATAAGCCTTCGTAAATTACATTATACTCGCGTACCCGAAGCCATAAACCCACGTAACTTATACAATAGTCGGGCCCCCGAAGCCATAAACCCTCGAAAATTACTGAACATTCGCGACCCCAGGGCCATAAACCTGTGTAAATTACTCAGTACTTGCGTCCCCGAGGCCACAACAAATCAGTCAATATTCGCGTCCCCGAAGCCATAAACCTTCCTAAAGTATACCATAGTCGCGCCCCCGAAGCCATATACCTTCGCAAGTGGCACCATATTTGCGTCCCCAAGGCCACAAACCTATCCAAATTACCCGACATTCGCGTCCCCGAAACCAGAAATCCGAGTTTATTACTTCATACTCGCACCACTGGAGCCATAAACCCTCGTAAATTACGCTACCGAGGAACCCCCCATACTTAATTTAAATATTATGTGCTTGGCTAAGTTTATCATATATGCGCAAATCTGCGTTCTCAGCCCTCGTCGCGAATGTTCCCCTCTGTGTCATCCAACGCCATATTGCTTGAACCTCCTCCCTATTCCTAGCCTTCTATCCTCCATCGAGGACAGATTCGAACCAGCCAGCGGCCGCGGTGAGGGACCACCCCCTGCGCACCCTCTATGGTGTCGAGAAAGTGCCACGCCTGCTATGCCCTGGACGACCGTCGTGCATGGCGCCCGCGGTGAGGGACCACCTCCTGCGCAGCCTTTATGGGGCCTCTCCTACCACGATCGAGAAAGTGCCACTCCGCGGTGAGGGACCACCCCCTGTGGTGTCGAGAAAGTGCCACTCCTGCCACGATCTGCGAGCGTGTCACGGATAGAGGCCGCGCTGAGGGACCACCCTCTGCGCACCCCCTGTGGTGTCGAGAAAGTGCCACTCCTGCCACGATCTGCGAGCGTGTCACGGATAGAGGCCGCGCTGAGGGACCACCCTCTGCGCACCCCCTGTGGTGTCGAGAAAGTGCCACTCCTGCCACGATCTGCGAGCGTGTCACGGATAGAGGCCGCGCTGAGGGACCACCCTCTGCGCACCCCCTGTGGTGTCGAGAAAGTGCCACTCCTGCCACGATCTGCGAGCGTGTCACACGGCCACTCCTGCCACGATCTGCGAGCGTGTCACGGATAGAGGCCGCGCTGAGGGACCACCCTCTGCGCACCCCCTGTGGTGTCGAGAAAGTGCCACTCCTGCCACGATCTGCGAGCGTGTCACGGATAGAGGCCGCGCTGAGGGACCACCCTCTGCGCACCCCCTGTGGTGTCGAGAAAGTGCCACTCCTGCCACGATCTGCGAGCGTGTCACGGATAGAGGCCGCGCTGAGGGACCACCCTCTGCGCACCCCCTGTGGTGTCGAGAAAGTGCCACTCCTGCCACGATCTGCGAGCGTGTCACGGATAGAGGCCGCGCTGAGGGACCATCTGTCGAGAAAGTGAGCCACGATCTGTCACGGATAGAGGCCGCGCTGAGGGACCACCCTCTGCGCACCCCCTGTGGTGTCGAGAAAGTGCCACTCCTGCCACGATCTGCGAGCGTGTCACGGATAGAGGCCGCGCTGAGGGACCACCCTCTGCGCACCCCCTGTGGTGTCGAGAAAGTGCCACTCCTGCCACGATCTGCGAGCGTGTCACGGATAGAGGCCGCGCTGAGGGACCACCCTCTGCGCACCCCCTGTGGTGTCGAGAAAGTGCCACTCCTGCCACGATCTGCGAGCGTGTCACGGATAGAGGCCGCGCTGAGGGACCACCCTCTGCGCACCCCCTGTGGTGTCGAGAAAGTGCCACTCCTGCCACGATCTGCGAGCGTGTCACGGATAGAGGCCGCGCTGAGGGACCACCCTCTGCGCACCCCCTGTGGTGTCGAGAAAGTGCCACTCCTGCCACGATCTGCGAGCGTGTCACACTAGTGCGCCGTCGAGAAAGTGCCACTCCTGCCACGATCTGCGAGCGTGTCACGGATAGAGGCCGCGCTGCTCTCGCCACCTGCCACGATCTGCGAGCGTGTCACGGATAGAGGCCGCGCTGAGGGACCACCTCTGCGCACCCCCTGTGGTGTCGAGAAAGTGCCACTCCTGCCACGATCTGCGAGCGTGTCACGGATAGAGGCCGCGCTGAGGGACCACCCTCTGCGCACCCCCTGTGGTGTCGAGAAAGTGCCACTCCTGCCACGATCTGCGAGCGTGTCACGGATAGAGGCCGCGCTGAGGGACCACCCTCTGCGCACCCCCTGTGGTGTCGAGAAAGTGCCACTCCTGCCACGATCTGCGAGCGTGTCACGGATAGAGGCCGCGCTGAGGGACCACCCTCTGCGCACCCCCTGTGGTGTCGAGAAAGTGCCACTCCTGCCACGATCTGCGAGCGTGTCACGGATAGAGGCCGCGCTGAGGGACCACCCTCTGCGCACCCCCTGTGGCGTCGAGAAAGTGCCACTCCTGCCACGATCTGCGAGCGTGTCACGGATAGAAGCCGCGCTGAGGGACCACCCTCTGCGCACCCCCTGTGGTGTCGAGAAAGTGCCACTCCTGCCACGCTCTCCGACCCGCTGTGCTGTGCTCTGCCGTGCTGTGCTGTGCTGTGCTACGGTGAGCTGTGCTGTGCCGTGCTGAGCTGTGCTGTGCTGAGCTGAGCTGTGCTGAGCTGTGCGAGCTGTGCTGTGCTGTGTGTGGGGGGAGGGGAGGTGTGAGGTGAGGTGAGGTGAGACGCGGGTGCGACGCGGCAGAGAAGAAAACCAGAACCCAGGAAATATTCTAGTATATATATGTATATAAATTTATTTATTTATATATATGTACATACACATATATATACACACATATAGATTTATATATAGATATACATATATGTATATATATGCATATATACATATATATAAATATATATATATATATATATATATATATATATAGTCGCGTTCCCGAAGCCATTTGTAAAGTATGCAACTTTCGCGCATTCGAAACCACAAAACCTGCTAAATACGTGATAGTTGCGTCCCAGAGGCCATAAACCCTAGTAAATTATGCAATCTTTGCGTCCCCGAGGCCATAAGCCTAGTAAAGAAGGAATTCAACAATACTTTGTGAACCTAGATATGCCGCTTACCAATCGCCCTCGCCTGAGGTTCCAACATTGCTTCACACTTGCGCCGGATAAATCCAGCATAGATCTGGCATATCCCATTCCGATAGAAAGGGGGCTGGCGGCAGGGAGGGAAGCGCTTACGGATATCTCTGCTTTATACTGCGCAGGACGGTGCCGCACTCG